TATATAAATAAATAAATGAAGCTTTAAGTATTATAGATCTCCATCATGACATATATTACAAAGCTTAATCAGATTGTGTTAGTATTATCTATACTAAAAGTTTTTATAAATATCATGCGTAACTTTATATGGTTGCTGACTATTTGTGCACAAAATTTTTTCCAACCAATTTTGTGTTGTTTGTTAGATTCACCTTAGACTGTTTACATTATATGAAATTTGAAGCTATAATGATTCTTAGTTTTTAAGGTAATTTTGAATCTTCCATATCGTTTTTTACCTGAAGTTCAACAGATTTTTTTTATATTTTTAGTTTATACGAAGCCATAAAAACTCTCATTCAAGGGAAAGTCCATCGCTTACCTGTGATAAATCCTCATACAGGGAATGTCTTGTACATCCTCACACACAAAAGAATTCTCAAGTTTCTCTTTCTATATGTAGGTATTAATTACTGTGCCTTTGAAATAAAAATATCTCATAGTGCATTATAAGATTAAAAAGTAACTCTCAACGTAACTATTTAAACCCAGAACTTCTGGTGTACCACCTAAATGAAATTTCACCATTTTTGTGCATGAGTAGGGATTGGAAAGTATTTGGTGACAATATATTAAGGTATAATTATAACTAAACATTGAATAGTCAAATAACTGCAGCTTCCTTAGCTCGTAGTGTCGGAGTTCTTAAGCTGTATGGCAGTGTCAGTTTTTCACATTTGATAATCGTCTTGTTTATGTAAAAAAAACAATAAAGACGAATTACTTAATTTCGAACTTTAGTGCTCTTTATGATCCACTTATTTAAAATGTGTACGTAAAATCGTCTAAATAATTATACTCTGTTTTATAGTATTTTGTTATCGGGAAAGTGTAAACTGTTTTGTTGTTTTTTTTAATTAGCTGGTAGGTTTTTGTACAAAGCAAATAAATAAGCATTGTGAGAAACTGTGAACAATCCAGTCATCTTTGAGCTTGTTTATATTTTACACAAGTCATTTTTGAAATGCTTTACGTATTCATGAGTTCTCTCTTTCAATTTCTATAGCTTTTTGAGCTTCCGAGACCAAGCTACCTCAATCAAACGTTGAGGGAACTCAAAGTAGGAACATATGAGAACATTGCTACAGTATGTAATACAAAGTTAAAAAGAACTTCTCTTTTCTCTATATGTATGTGTGTGTGTTTCTTATCTGTTACATGTTTTAATATATATATATATAAGCAGTATTTATGATGATTATTCATACTTGTTAAAAGCTGAAAGCTAGCTTCTTTCCTTTTTTTCTATTTGGCTGAAGGGGTTGGGGCATTTTAGTGTATTAAAATTAATGCGGGGCCATTTTAACACTCAGAAATAAAATCGTTAAAAACATTGTTACCTGTCGAAATTTAAATTTTTGTTTATGAAAAAGCATCTACCAATTTATTCTTAGATTTGAAAAAATTAATTAAAACTTTATTTTTTTACTTTAACACTATTTCAGTCGTTATATATCTGGATAATTTTTACACACATCATGTTCTCTAAAAAAGCTACTTCTGTTTATTTTATCAATGATTAAAAGACTTTATACAATCCTACATTTTTTTTCCTGTTAAATGAATAGATCCATAACATCTCACTAGTTGCATTTTTATGGCTTTTAGATATTAGTAATCAGAATATTTAATTGGCATTAGTATTAACTCAAAACAGAAATATTGAAGAAGAATTAGTTTTTAGTGTTTTTTTAACAATCATTATGGGTTTTTTTTCAGTCCTCGGTATTTTTGTATCATTAACTGACTCGTGATTTAAAATTGGTGGTATGAACATATTGGTCATAGTTCTTTGGCTCTATTCTGTCACTGTTTGTCTTGTAGTTGTATTATATGTATATATATTTGTGTGCTAGAATGCTCCTTTACTTGAATAGAAAGACATCTGGTGGTTAAAATTATATATCCATTTAGCAAACAGAGTATAAATGTTCCAGAGTATTTTAAGGTGAAAATAAGGTCCTTAATTCTGAAGAAATGTTGTAATCTCTCTCTTTATCAGAATTAAATGAGAATTATTAGTGTTCAAAAATAAGTTTATCAGTTTCTGAGAGTACTTTGGAAAACAGACATTAATTTTGATGAGTAAGTTAGCTAGCTAGCTTTTGGGAATACCATGTCTGTGATAGATTGTATATAACGATCTTCATTTTAGGGTTAACAAGTCTCCGATTGTTGTTTGTTAATATTATACTGTAATGCAGCAGATATTCAGAGAAAGTTGGTTTAAATTTCCATTGTCAGTGGTGTGGTGTTGGTATATTCTGTAAATATTTATAGAGTTAATATGCAATAACTGTATGAAAAAAAATGGAAAATTTGTTTGTATATTAAACCTTTTATATATATTTCTAAGAGTTTCATAAAGAAAATTTATCAAATACTTAGAAACTTTCCAATTAAAACTCCACTCTACCTACATGTGACAAACTAACTACATCTGTGTAGTTTTTGAAAGTTGTGGCATTAATTAAACCTTTATAAATTTACCTGTTTCAGATCAAAGTGAGCACTCCAGTTATCTTAGCTCTGAATCAATTTGTAGAGAGAAGGGTCTCGGCTTTACCCGTAGTGGATGACCAGGGGAAAGTAGTGGATATATATGCAAAATTTGATGTTATCGTTAGTATCATTTTAATTTGTTTTGTACATTTCTAGTTTGCTCACAAGATAAAGCAAATGATAAATAAACTGTTTTAGTTGTTTCTCAACACTTTTATTATGATTATTGTTTGTTTTTTTTCAGTTCACCTTCTTAAAGAAGCAATACGTCTCCGTCAAACTAGCTTTATCGTGATTACACACAACAGAACAATCAGAGTGCAGTCATACTTGTCACTCCGTCAAACTAACTTTATCGTGATTACACACAACAGAACAATCAGAGTGCAGTCATACTTGTCACTCCGTCAAACTAACTTTATCGTGATTACACACAACAGAACAATCAGAGTACAGTCATACTTGTCACTCCATCAAACTAGCTTTATCGTGATTACACACAACAGAACAATCAGAGTGCAGTCATACTTGTCACTCCGTCAAACTAGCTTTATCGTGATTACACACAACAGAACAATCAGAGTGCAGTCAAACTAGCTTTATCGTGATTACACACAACAGAACAATCAGAGTGCAGTCATACTTG